CTTCCGATTGGCAGTACGCAATGCTAACTAATCGGCTACCGCGGCCGCCAGTATGTAAATGTAACTATGGATAAATACTTCTGTAAAAAAATCATTAAAACTCAGTTGTTTGTTGCAATGCTTTTGTTGCTTTGTGTATGTATATGAATATATGTATGTATGCATCTGTGCGTTTATTTGATAATTTGAAATTTTCAACTTTTTATTTTTGATTATTAATTAATTTTGCATATTTCGATTTGAAATTCATACAATATTTTCAATATATCGATTAGCAAAGGTGAATGAAACTTTGTGAATGCCAATGACTTAGTCGGGCCGGGCGAACACAATACCTGTTTGGAGGGGTGTCAACCGACCGGAGTAAGTTATGTGCGCCGACGCGATGCGGCAACACACTGCACATGTGTGTGTGGGTAAAGTTTGCTATGCAATATAATTATAATATAAATGTATGCCACATACATATGTACAAACATGCGTGCTTTTACATATATACATACATATGGTAAGCAGATATTTGAACTAGAGCTGAATGCCGTTTGGTCAATTCATATGTAACGAAATTTTCCAGGCATTTATTTTTTTGGTTTTTTTCTTTTATAAATATAAATATATGTGTGTTTGTATATATGAAGATATATATTTACGGTCTTGCAATATACAATCATTTTAATGTTGATCAAGGAATCAATCACTGTTGTTTGGCGTAAATTAATTTTGCTTGTAAAGCTGTAATTTCGTCAGGCGTTTACAAAATTTAATTACAACAAATTTGTTTTTTTGTATATATATATATATATAGTACATACTCTTATGCCCGTGACTACATATATTAAATATTATATTTTTTTTTTTGCTGGCATTTTTTCATAAATTTAATTGCTCGTGCTAACGGATGCTAAGCTGAGATTGTCTTGTCTTCTATATTCAAATTCTTCTTCCACGGCGGATTTTACTCACAACTGCATGCAATAAACTTGATTTACTTACATGTACATTCGTATAAGTACATACATGTATATATGTATATAAATTTGTAGGAGATTAATAATCAGGTAGTCATATCATGGGTTCGAGCTCAATTCAGATCCACATTTATTATTATTTTAATTTTTTTTTTTCAGATTGCGGTCACCCCACACAAGCTAATGCCAATGCGGTAAATCGTATTTCTGAGTTGCAAATAAAATAATCTTATAATAATCGGCAGGGCATGTCTACCCCTCTGAGTGTATTTCGGACATGAAATAAAGCTCCGCAAAAAAAAACCCATCAGCTGTTTTCAGGCGGCTTAGTAGAAACAGTAGGGCCCTTCGTTTTTTGGAAAAACATCAAGACATAAAACCACGAATTGGCGGGGGAGCTCGGCCGAAAATCTTACAGCGATTACAAAGCGCCAATTTTATATATAAAAATCGCTCTGAGATGGTCAGAAGTATTCGGAGCCAGCTTCTGTATGAAGAATTTTGCACGAAAATAGCTTAGAAGGTTATAAAGCGTTTCTTATAATGAGTGTTCTTTTAGACAGCTTTTTTTTCAAAAAGAAATAAAACACTTAACCGTATAACTGAATGTTATGGTCCAGAACTTAGTTTAGCTAGTGCCAGCTGCGCTTGGCTATCATAAATTCCAGCCGAGAGACCCTATTTTCGGCCACTATTCGAATATCCTCTACAAGATGTCAGTAGTTTCGGGCTTATCGGTGTAGATAAGCGACTTGAGTGACGACAAGCGCATGAAAAATAGCCCAGCGGTGTTAAATCGCACGATCTTGGAGGCCACGCCACATAACCACGACGCGAGACAATTGCGCTCACCATAAGTTTCCCACAATAAATTGTTTGTTTCGTTCCCTATACGGCTTGTAGTGCCGTGTTGTGATAACCAATATGAGTGGCTTAATTTTTGAAGAAACATTAACTACTGATTTCCTCAGCTTATAGAGCGCGGACGCGGTGTCCGAGTGGTTAGCATTGCGTACTACCATTCGAAAGGCTCGGATTCAAATCCCGCTACGACCAACATCCAAAAATAAAATAAAATTAATTTAAATCAAAAAATGAATTAAATTTTCTAATTGCGTCCGTCTCTCGGCAGGGAATGTCAATCTCTCACAGGGTAATTATGACATGAAACAAAAGCGCCTGATTAAAAACTATCAGCCGTTTGGAGGCGGTAAAAACTGTAGGTCCCTCCATTTCTTGTGCAATCAACAAAACGTAAAAACCACAGATTTGAGGAGGAGCTCGCCCGAAAATCGCTTCTGCGCTTACAAAGCGCCAATTATATATAACGGCCTGTGGATTATCATCACTCAAGAAGCTATAATTTTTTTTATTCACGTGCTCATTCGGCCAATGATGAACCTCACGCTGAACAAAATTTTCTTGTGAAAATCTAGATTTCCTTTTGGACCTATTCAACGAACTTTACGACGCTCCTGATGGTAATTCGGCTTCAGTTCTCTCACAAATTGGATTATGTAAGTCTGCAAAACCAAGATCTTTTTGCAGAGTCGTCCATAAAGTGGATGGGTATAGTTATAATTGGGGCTCGCGATGGCGGACGACGTTGAAATATGAAATGGCTATTCAAAGTGAGTATAAATCAAGTAAAAGCTGTCAAAAAAGGCAACTCCGATGAAAGTTTTATCTAATTGAAAACCACACGTGTTAAAATACACCCTTTATATAAAAAAAAAACGTACATACCTATCTACTAGGTAGGTGTTGAGAATTTCATAATGCAAGTGAATGCATAGTTCTTCGCCACTGTCGTCATCTATGTGAAATTCATTAAATTGTTTAATTGTGAAGAGTGCAAAAAGCTGGGTATGAGAGTATTCTTCTCAACCACAACAAGAGTACTCATATAATTTTGTACTTTTCGTTCGCGAGAAAAGTGAAGATGCAATGGAAATCTTGTTTTCACACTCGCCAACCCACAAAAAAAGCACGATCAACCTGCTGCATTCCCGAACACTTGTACATACATATAGCTCTGCATTTGTGTGCTCTCTGCGGAGTGAGCTTTTTCAAGTTTGCTACAATGCTTCATAAGCGCTAGAAGTGAGTGCAATGCAATACAGTGCGCCCTAAATGTGAGTTTATTAATTATAATGAAAGTGAAGAAGTTTTCTTTGTGCTTTTGAGTAAATTTTATTGCTGAGAGATGGTCATAAATGTCTTCAAGCAATTTATCTGAAATAATCAATTTCATATGGATTTGACCTATTTTTATATCAGTGTTTTGTTTTGATAGATATGATCGATGTATTTTTTTTTTTTGTAAAAAGTACTTGAGCATTCAATTTTTTTACACTTCCTTAATTCTCCAATGCAATATAAAATTTTTAATAATCAAAGAAAACAAAAATATAAAAGACAACGCGTATTTCCTAGAAAAGTTTTAAGCTTTCATTGTTTGATATCTCGGTTGGGTTCGCTCTTTTGTCAAATCAAAAACAAGGCAAGCTTTTTCACTAATCAGTCTCTTTAGCCAACATATTTATTGATTTAATCCTTTAGAAATTCATATAAGTAGTTATGGTAATTTAATATTACACTTAACGTTAAATGCAGATGTCATAAGATTCATTTGTTACCGAGCTTATGAAGTTAAATAAAAATTCGAGACGATTTTGTGCTTGTCGCTCATGTAACATTTCTCGCTAGATGGTTTTACGCTCTTCTTAATCGCAAGACTAAGTTAAAGAAATTTGGTGAAGTTATTTCAGTCGAGTTTCAGAAAAAAGTTCTCTTTCTTCAATAAGTGATCCCCAAAAGGGTACCATAATTCTTCGTAGTAGTTAAAATCACTCTAGAAGCCTATGTGTAGAGTTCAAGTTCTGCTGAGTTCCCAAATCATCACTACTTGTCCCACACACTGGTGACCTGAACTAACTCTGCTTGCTAAACTCAGTTTATTATTAGGTAAAGTCAAACGTTCGTGCGGATTTTTTTTTATTGATTTTTCAAAATATGATAACTTTGTGTACATTTGTCCGATTTAAGTCAAATATGAGCCGTTTTGTGCGTAAACTTGTTGCCAACGAGATGCCAACTTCAATAGGGGTATAATGTCGTAGAAGGCTGCGTCCATATTGGCAAAAAATTTGGAGAGCCATTTTTCACAGGACTCTCTTGAGGCCAATTTCTCACCATTAACCGCGTTCGCTATGGACAGGAAAAGATGGTAATCATTTGTGCCAGGTCCGGACTATAAGTTGGGTGCATTAGGACCTCCTATCCGAGCTTCTGGAGCTTCTGGCGTGTCACCAAAGACGTGTGAGGTCTGGCGTTGTCCTGATGGAACACAATTCGGCCTCTGTTGATCAAAGATAGTCTCTTATGGATGCGTGCTGCCTTCACTCTGAGACATGTTGGTAAAGCTCTCTTCATCTGTGAACGTTTTAGGCTGATACATATACGAAAGAGTGACGAATGTAAAATCCCAAGATCAGGATGTTCGCAGAAATTTTCTCTACCTCGACTGAGGGATATCTTACCTTGTACAAATAAAAATGTTTTTCAAGAAATCTTGGCGCTAATAATATCAATACTTAAAATAAGAAAATAATAAATATTATCTCTTCAAAAAATTAATTACTTATGAGAGGCCGAAGTCTCTCTGCGTATCTCCATTTATGAAAAAGTAATCGTACTCTAAAGAATCTTAGCTGAGCAGGGGTTTAAAAGAGCGCTCGCGAGTCGGCTTAAAAAATTTTCATTTTCAAAAATATTTTTAAAATATATATGGGTCGTATACTATATCGACAGTAGTGTTGGAATTTCTCTGCAAACTGCGCTGAGTGATTATGCTTACTCACTCAATTCTCCTACTCGTGCTCTTCGCATGGAGAGAGCTTTTTCAGCACAGCGTCAGCGCAGCCTGTAAGCAATGTTGTGAGTCAGTCTGGCGACTAAAATACTCAAGCAATTAAAAATGAAAATAAAGATCTTTCGAACTGAAATTAGTTCTATTCGTTGCGTCTGGGAAAGTGTTAGTGAAACGGCGCTTTTCCACTACACAAACAACAAACCGTGACGTGAAGTGACGTCAAATACGAGCAACTATTAAATATTTCGTATGAGGCAAGAGCCCAAACGAACGCTATACCGTGATCAAGACAGTCAAGACAGCCGCCCACTTCAAACATATGCCCACGTACATATGCATGTACATATGTATATACGTGAATATAGCAAGCGACTCTCTGCTTTTACGTGCGAGTATTTATTTACATGTGCTTTTTTCATACGCTTGCTGCCAAAGCATTAAGCCAGCTGTGATCAACGCGTAAAGAAACGAAAGTTTTCATTTTCTTTGCTGTTTTCGGCTACGCTATTCTTCGCTAGCAGATCGACATTTACTAAGCTTTTGGTTTGGTGGCGTGCGCTGTCGTTATCTGTCGTTCATTTCGGGTTTTTCGCTTTTTATTGTTATTGCTATTTGTATTTTTACGCGCACTCTGCAGTGTTGCTGAGCACCTTTTGCGCCTTTTATATCGCTCTTCAGTTTGGTGTTTGGAACTTTGATATTTTTTTTTTTGTTTGCTTCTACCTAAATTTTTCTCCAATATTTTCGGCGTTTCGACGTGCTCGTGCGACACGGCGCAGAGCGATCTCAGACGTAGAGCGCCACAGTTCGACAGTACAACGTCACGACGTCAGCGGCCAGCGATAACTGCGCGCGATCAGAGAATTTCTCTAAATAAACGCAACACGCTGGTGCAGTTCAGTAACGCGTAAAAATTTCACTGCAACGGTTTGTTCCGCCAACGGCAACGGATGAACGGAATGCTGATATGAGCGCAGATTAAAGCAAGGAAAGAAACAACTTGTTGAATATACATATACATCCATACATATTTACCTACATACATGTGTATCTGAGCATATGCCGTCGATAGCAGATAAAAATAAAAAATATATAAAAATAACTTTTGAATTATTTACGACTTTGCAGTGAGTGCAATAAATGGTTGAAGCGAATTGAAGGAATTTAAGTGTTTTTCATATTTGATTGCTAAGTTTGTGTGGAAAGTGTAAAACAGAAGCTGCATTCGAGATAAACAGTGTTTGAAAAAGAGCTAAAAAAGATACAAATATACGTAAAAATATTTTGGGGGCGTCTACGCGTGAATTGCATTGCATCTTGATCCTGTCATACGACGCGCCATTCGCACGATCTTTCCGTTGCGTATACGTACTGACGTGCTCCGAACGCTAAGACGTTGAAAAATACACTTTTTTTTATTGCAAACAACAAACACTGCACAACACACAACACTAAAGCCTAAATATGTCACACCAATGCAGTTGTGGACGCGATCTCAACAACAACTATGTGTCCTATACAAGCGCCTATGCCAATACCACTACGAGCCTAGATCGTGAGGCGAGCAGCAGCCTTTCGGGCGGCGTTGGCAAATCGGCCATGTCCGGCAAGACGACGACACAGCTCACAGCGAAAGTGATGTTTGGCACTGTGGGCGCTATTAAGGATTTGCGCGAAAAGGAAAAGTCGCGACATGTGACAACACGGGCCAGCGACCGGCGTAACTGAGTCCAGTGGTGTGTAAGCGTAAAGAGACTGACTAAAAAGGGGTTTGTTGTTGTTATTCGAAGACGCTGGGTGAATGGGTGCTGGTAGAGCAAGGCAGGACAGAGCAGTGTTATGTAGAGCATGAGCATGAGCATGAGCATGAGCATGAGCATGAATAAAGGATATGGTGGCGTGGCGTGGTATGAAGTGGCGAAGCATTGAGTTGCAGTGTTGGTAGCAGGCGGTGGGCGCAACTCTCCCGTGATGTTGGTCGCTCAAATGTAGATGTTGAAATTGCAAAGCGTGTATATACATACATACGTATATTTACTGAGTTGTATTTATGTGTATATCGTGTTGTAATTACGTGTACGTCTAGCAGCAACGCGAAGTTTCCAGAAAAAAATTCCCAAATATCACAAATATCAGTTCGAAGCTATAAAGAGATAATAAGCAAAACATACATATTTTTTTTTTAACTACTTACCAATACAAACCTACACTTCTTTATTTTTGCAAGTGTGTATATATGTACTTTTCAAGTGTTTTTTTTTCGGCTTCAATAGTTTATGCTCATACTCTGTTTTGTGCTTGGAGAAAAATGTAAATATTTGCATACCAGTTTAATTACATATATAAAAATTAAGTGCATAATGTAAAACATGTATTTAAAGAATAATAATTTATACTTTTAAGCGAAAAATGTGAAAAATATTTGTCGTTAATTTGCGACATTAAGCACGCAAATTATAATATATTAATACACACATATATAATATATAAAGCAAAATTTTTGTGCATTAAAAAATATTTTTTAATTTATTTAGTATTAGAAACAACTAGTTTTTATTTCATTTATTATTCGTAAATTAATAAAAATTGTTATAATTTCAACAGAAAATCTAAATTATTATTTTTTTATTTCTTTCTCTATTTCGTTATTATTTTGACAATTTCTTGACTTTCAGATCAAGAAATAACATTAGAGCGCAAGGTTCATTACAATGACTAACCTGAGCTCAAATTTAAAAAATATCCCAACTTCATTTTTAACGCGTATAAAATTATTTTAAAAGCTCCATATAAAAACACAAAACATGTAAGATTTCCAAAAAAAAAAAATGTTGGTTAGAATTCAGTTTAGGGAAAATAATAATATTTGTATATGCACCACACTGGCAACCACATGAATTTTTGGCAGGAAAAGCTTAAGAATATTATTGAAAATTAATTTACTACGCTTTGACAACGCAAACTAGATGAAAAAGTCATAACTCAAAATTTTTCAAATCGTGTTTATGCCCATTTTCAAAGTAATCATGTCGCTAAAAGAGCGGCAACCGTTTCTCTTGAACATTTGAGATATTCTAGGTTGTGAAGGTTTTTGATTTTTGAATTTACATAATATTAAACCTCTAAAGAGTTTTGTGACGAAATATATCTCCGGGTTGAAATGTTAGCTCTAAGCTTTCACTTTTTCTTATTAATGTAATTTTTTCATTTTTCCATTCGCTTTAAGTTCTTCTTCCCTGTGGCGATTAAGTTATTCAAATAATTCTGTTAAATTTTTCAAACAAACTACATATTTTTGATCAATTTTAGTGCATCAAAGAAAAATTTGTTAATTTATCTACTTGAAAGCAAGCATTTATTTCGCCGCTGATCATACATACATATCTACACGACATGAAATTAGTGCGATAAGTAAATTTTCATTATATTTATGTATATTAATTTGTTTTAACTTATGTTTTGACTATTAACATATACTCGTATATATATATATATATATATATATATATATGTATGCACATTTGTATAGTTTCTTGTGCACTGCTGATTTGTGGATACGTGATTTAAAGCACAATATTCATATATTATTATATTTTTTACTTTTGAGTTAGTAAATAAATATACTTTTACTAGGCGAATATATATTTATGGGGAAACCCCTGCAAAAGTATTTAGAATATTGAAAAAAAACAGGCAATTATTTTCAAAAGTATCAACTAAATATATATCTGTGAAAAAATCAAAAATCTGCCCATTTCATAAAGTTTTACTGAAATATGTTTATATGAAATGGAATTTTTATTATTTAATACTCCCTTTTGAAAAATTTATTCATCTACCATAATGAAAAAATTAAAAAAATAAAACGAAATAGAATAAAATAAATTAAAAAAGAAAAGTAAAATATATAAAATAAAATATCGTAAAGAGGAATAAAATAAATTAAAGTAAAATAAAATAAAACCAACTATAATACAATAAAAGAATAAAATAATTCAGAGTACAAAAATTAAATAAAGTAAAAAAATAAAATAAAATAAAAAAATAAAATAAAATAAAATAAAATAAAATAAAATAAAATAAAATAAAATAAAATAAAATAAAATAAAATAAAATAAAATTAAATAAAATAATATAAACTGAACCAAAACAAACGGTAAAATAAAATAAAGGAAAATAAAATATTTTATTTCCTCTATAAATAAAATAATATAAATTAAAAATAGAAAAAATAAAGTGAAGTAACAAAATAAAATAAAATAAAATAAAATATATTAAAATAAAAAATAAAATCAATTGGAATTAAAAAAATTAAAACAACACAACAACAAACAATATATTAAATTAAAAAATTGTAATTACAATTATATAAAATTAAATTATATAAATTTAAATATTGTGGAAATACTGTTAAAAACAAAATTAGGTTAAATGAAACTAAATCACATGAAGTACTTACTAAAATGCCAAAATATAATTATTTCATACGACTTCTCTCAATTACTTTTCGCAATATGCTGCTTATTTTCCACTATCAAAATTATTTTCATAGAATTTCCCACATGATAATATTAATAATATTTTGAATTAAAAAAAAAAATAATAAAAAGTAAATTAATATGAACGTAATTTATTTTGCACTCATATACTTAATCATTTCAATTAAATTGGTAATTTGAAATTGTAATTAATAAAATTATACATTCATACATACATATATAAAACATGCTTGATTGTGCATGTATTAAATAGAAATTATATAATTGAAACGGTATAAATATACATATGTAAATGTAAGTTGTAAAATTTTCACTCAAATACATCACCTTTGTTTATTTATATTTAAAATCAATTTATAGTTATATACAGATAAACACATTTTTATGTACATACATACATATTTTAAGTTATGTTTTGTAAATTTATGCAATATTAAGCACAGAGAGCCTTAAAAACCTGATTCCAAAATATTGTTTCGTTTTGTTTGTCAATAAACGAGACTTTAATTTTAATAAAATAAGTCTTTAATTATAACACATACAATATAACATATATATATTAGTTTGTAGGTTAAGTGGTGATGTTTCGACATTTGAAAAACATAATCATGTGATTCTATTAAAATGCCGTTACGTTTTGTTATATAAATTTGATAAGCAAACAAAAAAAAAAAAAAAATAATGCACCAACATTTAAGATGGTCCCAAAAAATAATTATTTTCAATGTTTTAAACCGTTATTTAGCACAATTAATTTTTAAAAATATTAAGTTTTATAATTATGCACTATTTTAATAAAGAGTGAATGAAAAATATCACATAAATAAATATGTAAATATTTGTGTTGTTGTTTTGAAATGATTATTTGCTTTTAAAGGGTGTTTTTTACACCTGTGGTTTTCAATGGGACATTACTTTTTTCGGCTTTACTCTTTTTAACAGCTGCTACCTGATTTATATTCGTTTCGCGCGACGCTCAGCAGAGCCGGTAATTCGATCAACCGCGGATCGTTTACGCACCACGTTTCGAGCGATATCTGGGCGTGAAAAAGGGAATTTCAAAGGCGCAGGGTTATCACAATCGTAGCAATGAAATTCGTCCCATTACTTAATTGTCACACCTCGTAGTAGATAATGCCATCACGCTCACCGAAGAGGGGGCAAATTATCGAAGGAGCCTGGACTGAGTCCATTTGTCATCGAGCGTATTTATTGTAGTGCAGCTTTGCCCATATCAACTTTAAATAATCTTTTGAAAAAGGATCTTGGTGTGCGGACTTATAAAATCCAATTCGTCGAACGACCATCATACGGCGTCATACGTTCGGTGAATGGCCCAAAACTAGACGGGCACCAATGCTGAAATTTCCAAGAAATTTGTCCCACTTGAAATGCTGATAATTGACGCCGTTATATCCTCTGTTTCACTGTTTGGTGTGCTGCTCTTTGGGCAGAGGGAATTCATTATTGGTCCATGCTTCTTCAAAAATGCAGCCGCTCATAATGCTACAGTCAATGGGGAATGCTATAGAGTCATTATGAATGACTTTTTCGTGCTTAAATTGCAGGATGTTGATATGGACGACCTTTGGTCCCTATGCGACGGCGCTACTTGTTATACAGCCAACGAAACAAAATAAATTTATTGAAGGAAACTTTTGGTGTGCGCATTATCTCGGGCCTCAAAGATCGTGCAATTCGACACCGACGGCCAATTTTCAGGGGTTATGTGAAGTTGTCAGTCTATCCGGAAAAACCAGAGGCGATGGACGTCTTGAAAGTGAACATTCGTCCCATTATTATTGGCACACGGCATAAGTTGGTCGAGATTTTGAGCCACGCGGCTGGTTTTTATTCAAGCCAGCCACGACAATCTTCAGCACGAAATTATTTTTAAAAAAATATGCCAAACTCTCGTCTATATGAAAACCACATGTCTAAAAAAAACACCCTTTATATAATTTTTGAGCAGCTGCATGCATTTATTATGAGTACATACATATATACCAACTGTGGCGGGGAATAAAATAAAAAAATTAATTTTCTGAACTAATCTTCTTTTAATGGTTCTACGCCTTTTTTGGCATTGTATTTTTTTTTTTTTTTTTTGGTAAATAAATTTTTGCTTCAAACTGCTGACATTAAATAAAATTCTACTCACAAATATTTATGTAAACATGTGTTACATATGTACATATGTACATGCCTAGTATTTATTGTAATTTATTTCTATTTGCCACTTCGACACATTGGCGCTCGCTGTCTCGCTGCTTGACAGCTTGGAATTCAATAACGTCACCGTCACCACTTAAAAGTCATTGGTGCGAAAATGTTTAACATTTTAACCCCAACTTGGGTTCGAAAAGGATGACGTGGTTGTTTTGCTTCGTATCGGAGAATTGGAAATATTCGATTGTAGTGTGGGAATATTGAGTATTTTACAATATTAAAATGAATTTTTATTTAGTTCTAAGAACTTGTAGTTGACAGACTCGTACTTGGCACGGACGATTAGAAGAACTGCGTCTTTATTTTCTAAGTATTGTTTTTTGTTTTTTTTTTTTTACTTTGCACTTTGGAATTGGATTTATACTAGTCTCTTATGGATTTTTAGCTCGAAAATATCGGAAAATTGTGACATACTGCCAAGAATGTACGCCTCTGTATACTTTCGAAATGCAAGATTAAACCTGAAGAGCTGAAGTTTGCTACATTCTTTATACTGCTGTAAACCAAATATACTTCAAAGATCTACAAGATCTATTTTCCTTCAAAGAGCTGTTAGAAACGGACGAAAGAAAGAGAGAGATGATGTGACCAAAGATGCATTTTACGAGTGCCTGCTTCCGCCACGATGTGCAAATTGTGGTATCCCTAGGCGTAAGGTTGCCTGTAGTATTAGATGCCAGCACAAAAAAATTCACTAAGTTACTTCACTGTCTTCAAAGCGAAGAATTCTCAACCAAAATCTCTCCCCAGACTGTATAAGAAAGCGAGGCGAATGCGGTGCAA